TTTCTTAACCAAATGCAGTTGGTGCATGCGGGTTTGGTTCTTTTGGAGCAACAATAATGGCGGAGATGTATCGGCAGCATCTGACCTCTACCGCAATGGTGTTGGCTGCGGTTTTGTTATCAGGTATTAAAGACAAATGGCCCGTGCATGTGTCCTTAAGTTTTTTTAGTATGATACTCAAATAAACCAACATGCTATTGATGATGCAAACGCAATTTCAATTTACATTGACCAATTCTTACGTTGCAAGGTAAGGTGCACCAACAGCAACTATTGTTCAGACAAAGGTGTGACAGTTGTTGTAACTGATCAAGGTTCAGGTCACAACACTGATTTCGTCCTGAGCCAACGAGCCTTTGGTAGGATGGCTCAGACAACAGATGCAGCTGCATCTCTATTAGCCCTTGGAGGTCGACATTGAATATAGGCGGAAGATTCCTCTATAATGAGACGAATCAGAGTTAGAAGCAACTTCAAGAAGAAGAACAAAGTTCTTCATTATTTCTGTTGTTCTTGTCCAAAAGAAAGTACACTTTATATTGATAGGACAAAATCATGGATCTCTTATCTCATTCCTCTCTTTGTACAGCGTTTCATGCAGCTATCCAAATAAGAATATTACAATCAAGATTGAAGAGTAGCGACTACCCTCATTATTTGGCATTTGTTCTATGGTATCAACAAGGTGACAAGGATATCACAGCTGTTCAGCTATGTGAGGTATTATGTGCTTTCTAAACCTCATTTTCTGTATCAGCTGGTATGACCAATTATGGAGTTGCAAATGGAAGGTAGATTTGATGTCCGAATCTACAACAACTATTACAATAGTTAACTAAGGGGAAATTTATCTCTAATATGTGCAGACTCAAAACTTTGTGTGCAAGCTATTGGATAGGAGTCATGGAGCAGTATGGACAACCACTTCACCACCAAGTGGTCCATTGTCTTTGAGAATGTTACTGATGAGAGGATGGAGATGAGTCATGGATTGTTCCTATTAATAACATACCAGAAAATTGGAAAGGTGGAGAGACATATGACACAGGAGTTCAAATTAGTGTCTAGAATATGCACTAGGGTCTTTCAGTTCTTTGTTTAGCATACAGGTAAAAGAATAAATTCACAGGCTTTCCTGGAATGTGTAGTTTCATCATGCTTTATAGGTTAGCATATAATTTATTATTTGTCAAAGAAGGGATGACAAACTTTAGTAAGATAAATTCTTATGTAATGTATTTTTTACTAATGAAATTTTATGTTTCTTATAAAAATAAAATTTCTCAAATAAGTCATCATAGAAACAGCACTATCCATATAGTCAAGGAAAAGACCTTGACTTGCACTATAAACATATTTTTTCCAGTTTTACAATATCATCCATTTCCACTTGTGCACAGTTTCCTGATTTTATCCACAAGTATGTTATCTATTAGTTTACAGTACGAAACAAATTTCATAATGGTCATGACAGTTTAACATACCCTATTTGCTCAGGCAGGAAATGCTGCAGCAATTCTTAAATCCCAAATAATAATTAACAAAGATGACCTGGTTCCTTATGCTAATGCTACTTCTATTAGTTCCAATAGCTAAGGAATGATTAAACCTATTAAATCAACAATAATACACTGTCTACTGCCTTATCTTTCTGGTGTTTAGAAGCACAAAATAATCAGCTCGTAATAGATAAACATCCTTAGTGAAACGACTTAGTACTGCTAAAATATCTGAACGCTAACACCATTGATCTTCAATATTCATGAAAATAAGCAAGGTCAATATTAAGATAAGAAAAAAAAAGAATGAAGGGTTTAGTGAAGTTATAAAGAATCGAACACTGCAAGGAACATAGGAAAAACAATTGATGGAGGTGGTCAGATTGATCATTAGGCTGAGCAGAGACAGATTCTGTTCTTCCAGCCTTGTTAAAATATTGCTTTCTTTGATAAATAAATAAAAATTTACTTAATCCAAAAAAAATGTTATAGTTGCAAATAATATCAAAGATGGCATGATTTGGTGAATTTCTTTGCTTGAAGCAAGTTGAGAAAGATGGGAAGTTCTCCAACTAGAATATGAAATATATCGCATAGCTAAACCAACTTCCTATATCTCAGTGATAAGAGCAAAAAGAAGAATAAAATGAAAAACAAATGTGTACTGAAATTTGAAGTGGATCAACACCTCTTCTGCTTTATGTTCCCATCGCCTTCTCCTACTAAACAGCAATTCTATATTCTAAGCCCATTCAGATGTGATATTTATAAATAGAGGTCACTGCCCTAACCGTGCCATTTTCGAGAGATGTTTTCCATGGAATTTTATTCTGACTTTCATGTACATGTTTTTCCTGCTAGTTCACTGTCCCAAATCTCAAACCCCTATAGGATCTCTGCAAGACAGTTTCAGCCGAACACCCAACTCCATCAACATAGATATGATGGTTCTCCGATGTGGTAAATCATGTCTTTCTGAAAATTCCCTATCGCTGATAAACTTTCTAATATTTTCAACTTCACCCCCACTTCCTTTCCAGAGAATATATGTAAGATAATAACACATACGGCCCAACATCCATCTGTTCCAGGTCAATTAGTTGTTTGGCTATATTCTTTCCAAGCTCTAAATTAGAGAGGGTCCTACATGCAGAAAGTAGAGATCTCTACAGGGCAGGTCCTGACTCCACTGACATCTTACTCATAAGTCCGTTTGACTGTTCCATAAAACCAACCCGGCTAAGTAGATCATACATGCAACCAACATGCTCCACCTTGGGTTTGATCTGGTAAACTCTGCACATTAATCAAAACATCACCAACCCTCTAAAACCTTTCCGAATACTTACATGCAGATAAACAACTGGTAAAGGTAACAGCATTTGGCGTTTGACCTCTCTTTTCCATATCAAAAACATCTCTTGCCAAATCCATAGCCCCACATTTTGCATACATTGTCAAGAGAGCAGTAGAAAGCAATACATCACATTTGATCTTGTTATTCTCAATAAAAGAATGAACCCACAAGCCCTTATCAAGCCTCCCCAAAGTTGCACATGCTGTCAATACACTAACAAGAGAAGCATTGTTCGGCCTAACCTCCCCTGTTTCCTGATCCTGTCAAACAACATTAGAGCCTGGTTGACATACTTCTTACATCTAACGTATAAAGCCAAAATGATGTTCCAAGAAACAATATTCCTTTCAGACATCCGATCAAAAGATTACGAGCCTCCGAAACATTTTCAATCCTTTCATACCCATCATCATAGAATTCCAAGAAATAGCATCTCTTCCTGGCATTTTTTCAAACAACTCTCTCGCCACCTCCATTTTCCCAACACCGACGTACCCTGCAATGATTATATTCCACTAAAAGTATCCCTCTCAGACATCTCATTGAACAGCTCCCGCGCAATACCAACCTGCCCATTCTTCACATAGCCATCTATCATCGAATTCCAACTAACTAAATCCAACACAACCCCATCATCGAACACCTCACGGGCACTCCCTATCTGCCCACAACTGAATACAGCGAATCAAAGAGTTCTTAACAAACAAATCAGACTGGACCCAAGTTTCAAAACCCGGGTATGAACCTTTCCACCTTCTTGCAAAGACTTAATCTCGGCACAAATTTTCCCTAACAACGGAAAAGTATACTCGTTATGCTTAACAAATTTACCCACCATTTTTTCATAGTAAAAAATCAAAGCACTAAATGGATCCAAACTCAAAGACCATTCAATATGACATTACAAAGAAACGTATCAGGTTCTCTGATACAATCAAATACCAAAAGGGCATGTGAAACAGTGTAAATAGTTGCAGAGCTTCCTAACCACCCGGCTCGTCACGGGAAGCTGTTTGCGCAGGCCGGAGACGAGGAGTTGAGCGTGTATTTGGTTGAACTGATTGAAGCTGGTGCAAGATTCAACGTTTGTAAAATGGGTGGTGGGTGTTGGTGGATGTTTCCCGAGGCTGGAATTCGAAGTTGTGGGTCGTTGGGCCATAGCTTTGGTGAGGGTTTAGAGAGGTTTTTTCTGGGATTTTAGGAATTTGTCGACGGTAAGCGAGGTTAGGCGTGCTGGAGCTTGTTTGGACAAGTTGAAACTTGAAACTGTCATTTCTTTTGCTGGTTTCCGTTGTAAAATGGGGAAATCAGTAATATCATTATAGTTAAGGAAGTTTTTTACTCGATTATTGTTCAACTATCGAATGCCGGTATGTGAAGTCCGGTGGAACTTCATTGATCGCAAAGGGCGAAGAGCGGCCTAGGTTTAGAGTTTGAAATAAATATTTTTAAATTTTTGGGACTATTTCAAAATTTGTGTACTTATTTTAGAATATAATTTTAATTTTTTATTTTAAATAAAATTTTTAAAATTATCAAAATATGACATGTGTCACTTAACGAAGAAAATTAACAACATTTATTGTTGGAAAATAACTGAGTACGAGTAATTTCCCTCTAATCAGATTAGTGAGAATGCGAAATAAAAGTGAAAAAATAATACACGAAATTGATAACGGAGTTCAACCAATTTTGTCTACGTCTTCGGACTGCTGCAGATCTTTCACTAAAGAGATAAAATTTACAGGTGTTTACAAAACACTCACAGCTCACAAGAAAACTCTCTAAACTCTTTAATAGTGAGAGAAAAAAATGATTTGAGATGATTTTGAAGCTAAATGTGTTAGGGTATTTATAGTTGAAGCTTAAGGACTAATCTTATAAATATCCTAAAGTGTAATGACTAAATGTAATTATGTCATTTACCATTTTTTCAACAAAAATAAATACAACGTTCGATGTCCCCATTTTTGTCCCCCCTTTTGACCCATTCTATTCGGTGCATTTAAAGCATCGAAAGAACTCTGACTTTTAACAATCTCTCACTTGAAGATTGATTTTAATTTGTCTTCACACTTCGATCAATGTAACAGCATTTCTGATCTTGTTACTCTAGCATGCCAACTGAAGCTTAACACAACTTCATTTGTCCGTAGTCACCGTCTTTGTTAACATGTCTGCAGGATTTTGAGCTCCACGATTTGAATTTATTTATGAAGTTCTCCCTCTAGACTCCGTGTGCAAGGATGAGGGCTTGATGCTTCACCCGATTATCTCTGTCGAATTTCCTCACTCAATATCAGATCCCGAACATTGTCGAATTTTAATTTGTTATTTCTCGACAAACTATTGACTGCTGTAACAGTAGCATTCCAACTGTATGGTAGAGATGATAAGAGAATTAAAACTCGAACTTCATCATCAAATTCAATTTCCACGAAACTCAACTGGGTTGTGATTATGTTGAGTTCATTTAGGTGTTGAGCCACCAATGCACATTCCGTCATCCGCAAATTGAATAATCGGCTCATCAAGTGAACTTTGTTTGAGGCCGATGACTTCTCATACATACCAGAGAGAGCCGCCATAAGACCCGCCGTGGTCTTTTCCTTTGCTATGTTGAAAGCAACATTGCGGGATAACGTCAGTCGGATAACTCTGAGGGCTTGTCTGTTGAAAAGAGCTCAGTCTTCATTCTTCATGCCCTCTGGTTTCTTTATTGAGAGAGGTTGATATAGATTTTTCTGGTACAGAAAATCTTCAATCTGCATCTTCCAAAAGCCAAAGTTCGCACCATCGAACTTTTCAATTTTTATCTTCCCTTCGTCTGCAGCCATCGCTCCCACTCGAATCTGGTTTGTTTGGATCGTTTCTGACAATTATTGCGAACCACAGTGTATTAGAACACCTCCGTTGACAAATTTGTATCGTTGACAAAATTTTACTATTCACAAAATTTATTATTCACGTAAATAGTAATGAATAGTAACATCGCAAAAAATTGACAAAATTCACAACCAAAAGCTCTGGTTACCAGTTGTTGGGAAATAAAACGAGTACGAGTAATTTCCCTATAACCATATTAGTGAGAATGCGAAATAAAGTGGAAAAATAATACCCGAAATTGATAACGGAGTTCAACCAATTTTGTTTACGTCTCCGGACTGCTGTAGATCTTTCACTAAAGAGAAAAATTTACAGGTGTTTACAAAACACTCACAACTCACAAGAAAACTATCTAAACTCTTTAGTAGTGAGAGAAAAAAAATGATTTGTGATGATTTTGAAGCTAAATGAGTTAGGATATTTATAGTTGAAGCTTAAGGATTAATCTTATAAATATCCTAAAGTGCAATGACTAAATGCAATTATGTCATTTATCATTTTTTCAACAAAAATAAATGTACCGCTCGGTGCCCCTATTTTTTCCCCTTTTTGACTCATTCTATTCGGTGCATTTAAAGCACCGAAAGAATTATGACTTTTAACATTTACTGCTCTAACACCTAAGGTGATAACGTTTGTAACATTAGACACAATAATCATTCAAAAAAGACTGTAGACATTTATTCATAAATCGCACGACAATTTGAATACTTAATTTTTAATTAATCCTAATCTAAATATTATATCAAAATAAAACTATATATATATATAAGCACGAAATCTTTTACCCCAAGGACTAAAACTAATTTGGGTATTTTAAAATTCCATAAACGCCAAAGGTCATTCTCGTACTTCCACTGAGTTTTCCCAATTCCATCCTCTAAATGCCTTCACTTTACTTTCTTCAAAATCCCTAGAAGTACCTTTGGAAATATCGCCCAATTAACCATGGGTCTTTTCTCTTGGTTCACTAGCGACTCCAAACCACAAACCGTAACCGTACCAAAGCCAAACGAGACCCCAAAACCCGTCCCAGGAATGAACGGAGCCGTTGAAGTGCCCCGTCCGGAGAGTGTTACGGTGTTCGAATTCGGATCCGTAGCTGCTACTGCAGATAAGGTTACTTTAGCCGGATTCTGCCCTGTGTCTGACGATCTCGAACCTTGTCGCTGGGAAATTCTGCCTGCGAATGGATCCGATGCTCCTCAGTTTCGCGTCGTCTTTTGATAATTGAATAATGAAAAATCGAGTGTAAGTCGGTAGAAAATTTGATTATTTGGAGGTTGAATGACTTTTTTTTAGTTCTTGTACTTTAACTTAATGGAAACCTCGTTATTCTTATGAATTTGATTGTGTTATTTATTTATCAGAATTTAAGATAAAAGAAGAGAAATTTAGAGGAAAGAGTACCCAAATTGTCATGACAGCATGAAATAGAATTTAAAATTATAGATTAGGTTGGTAAGGTTTGGATCTATTAAGTTCAATTCCACTTCGTTAGCATATGGACATTCTTAAAGTAGATTTTGGTCCAAATGCCAGATTGTTTGTGATCAGAAATTTGGCAACTCAAACTATATTTCTTATATTGCTCTCATCAAAAGAAGTAGCCGATAGACTCGGCAAAGACCCTTCTACAGATTACTTATCCGTTTATGACTATTTACATAGTGTTCTCGTAGAGATCTTTACGCCCCTGGCCGAATAGACCCTTCATGGTGCAATGGTTTATGCCTCCACATTAAAAAAATAAAATTTGTATTTCGTTTAGTATTTAATATAAAAGTAATTACTTACATCCCTTTCCATCAACTCTCAAATGCTCTTCCCTGTTTTACTCAATAAGGATAGCCTTACATTTTGGTATAGAGTTTCTCTCCTATGGTAAAATTTGGGGTTAAGCATTCAAATGAGGGAGAGATCATAGTTTATATAATTTTATATTAAGCTTAGATTTGTTTTTATAGTTAATTATTGGCTTTTAGGGTATATTTTTCTCTGCCTTTTGGCATGTATTTTCTCTGCTTTTTAGCACGCCTCTGTCTATTGGCACGCCTCTGCTTTTTGGCACGTCTTTTCTCTTTTGTTCTCGATTCTATATCGCTTTCCATGGCTGATGTGGTGAATGAGTTGACGAATCTTTGCTATTAAGGAGGATGAAGCACTTGTTTTGGAAGAAGAAAATCATGCTTCTCCAATTTCTTTTGTCCATTGTTTTATGGGATCTTTCTTAACTGCTAGTGTAATGAATTTTGACTCCATGCGATTCACGCTAGCTAATGTTTGGCACCCTCTAGGAGGAGTTTCTATTTCAGATCTGGGAGATCGGCGCTACCTTTTTGTTATATCATTCAATAGATATTGATAGAGTTGAAAGCGGTGGCCCTTGGGTTTTCAACTTCCACCTATTGATTTTACACAGGTTGAAAGATAATGAAGACCCAATGATTGTTCTTTTGTATTTCTTAAATATGTGGGTTTTAGTGCATGATTTACTTATTGGCTTTATGTCTGAATCGGTAGCCTAACAGTTAGGTAACTTTGTTGGTCTTTTCCTTGAATATGATGCTAAGTTTTCCTCCATGGGATATAAGGATTATGCGACTTCGAGCCCGTTTTGATACTCTGTAATATCTCAAAATCGGGGTTAGTGACTAAAATTGAAGTTTTGAAAATTTGAAGTCTGATTTTGAAATATTTATTTTATTGTTCAGTAAATAACTTATGGAATAAGGGGTATAATGGTCATTTGATAAAGAAATATTTTTATTTTCCCTTATAAAAAGTAGACACGTGGAGAGGAGAATAAAAATTAGAAGACTCTGGAGATGCTTGGCTTTCTTCTTCCTTTCTTCCCGTAGCTCCATTGGTAAGGTAAGATTATGTCAAGTGATTGTTTCCTTTCAATTTGAAGTTTGGTTTAATTCTTGAGATGATAATTAAGCTTAAGGAAAGCTTAATTTGTCTTAAAACCATAAGATGAATGAGTTAAGAGAGATAAAAGATTTGAAGTTTTTAAATGAAATTTTGGAAAAGAGTTGATAAGTAGAATTTGAGGTTAAATTTGACTTGTCAAATGGTTAATTAAGAAGTTAGAGGTGATAGAATTGAATTAAGAACACATGAAAAATTTGATGAAATTATTTGATTCAAGAATTATGGTGAATTATGAGAGATGGTGAAGTGTTATAGTGTTATAAAAAGGTTTACATATGTATAGATAAGTTTTAAGGTACAAGGAGGGGTTAATAAGTGGAATTTGAGGGCAAAGTAGGACATTTTTGTGCTCAAAATGGAATTTCTGGGTTGTGTGCATCGATGCATCTTCAATGTGTATCGATGCACTCTCAAATAAATAAACATCGAATGCAATTAGTGCATCGATGCATAAGGAGTGCATCGATCCACTCCCTTAAAATGAAAACAACGAATGTAATTTGTGTACCAATGCATGGATAGTGCATCGATGCACATGTTAAGGAATGCATCGATGCACTGTAGAATGTACCGATGCACTTCAAGGGGAAATAGAATTAGACCTTTCTTTTGGTCTAAGAAATGATAGATTAGAATCCATCAATTGGATACTGATATGTATCAATGTATGATTATGTAGATATCGAGCACGAACAAGTTCCGGGACGACTATCAGGTTAAAATTTGATCGAAAGAAATCATAAAATGGGATTGGAACTTAGTGAGGCCAAGGTGAGTGCACATTATTTAGTATAAGATGTTCAATAGAAAATAAGACTTGTGATAAGTCTATTTCCAATAGTAAAATGCATGAATTCATAGAAGTATGTGTTTGCTATGTTTTATATGTGTGCATGAGTATATGTGTTATTGATGTGAATATGGTAAGTAAAAAAGATTAATGGTGATAATAAGAATAATAATAAGGATAATGAAATAATATGTATATGTGAATATATGTATATGAGAAGACATAAGAGTAAGATATAAGCAATGTAACAAGAAGTGTGAAATGACAAAAAAAATTGATATAAGCTATGCAAAAGTGATTTACGTGATTATATGTATATTTGATCCAAGTTATGTGAATATATGAGAATATGTGCTATGTGATGTATATATGAACATATGTTAAAAAGAAATGACATACGTATATGAACAAATGAGAAATGAGATAAGCCATATGAAATAATCTACGTGATTGCATGTAATATGTAATATGTAATATATGCTATATGATATGAAATATATGTTTACACATACATGTGGTATGTGGCAGAAGAGAAAGAACAAGTGATATGAAATGTTATAAATGATAATGCCCATGTTATGTAATATGAGAGCTAGTGGTATAGTTGGCATGACAAGAGTCGAGGGTTTACCTATTTTCTACGGAACATATGAACAAAAGTACCTATGTCTTTTGGGACATATGGACAGAATTACCTATGTCTTTTGAGACATATGAACAGTATACCTATGTTCTAACAGTTTACCTAGGTTTTTCGAGACCTATGGACAGTTGTCGATGTTCTTTATGACCTCTGGATAGGTCATTCGGGACAATTATACGAGCTGTGGTGACAACATAATAGTGCATAACCACAATGTACTCACATACTTTAAGTTCTCACATATGTACATGGGCTAATAAAGAGATAACAATAAATATATATATTACATGTAAAGTATATGATTTTGTAATATGAATTGCATTATATGATTATATGATGATGTGTATTGCTTGGTTAAATGAATCATATGTGACTTAAAAGAATAGACATACGAGTATGATTATAAGACATAAATGATAAGAATATAGATAGTGGAATAAGGTTAGTAATGGAAATAATGTGAGATATATATATGTGTATATCACATTGTATGTAATGTTCTATTGTTTTGGAATGACATCATGAGATAACGTGTTCCTGCATGTTTAAATAATTAGAGTTCTTTTATAAATGTAATGTCTCACTAAGTCATAGACTTAGCGTGTGATTGTTTCACACGTAGGTTACAGAAGCGAGAAGAAAAGCGAAGAAGAGCAAGACAGGTAAGCATCTCCCTTACAAAGTTTCAGATCAGAAAATAGATGATTTAAATGTATTTGGTTATTTTGAATATAGTTGACATGTACTAATTGATTGAGTCGAATATGCTCTGAATGGTTTGTAAAACAATTTGACATTATTAATTATTGTAAAGTAATTATTTTCTCAAATGAGGAAATTAAGATTTTAGTGGATTTGTAAAGAACAGAATTTTGAAAAGTCAATGTAACATCTCGGACTCGGATCCGGATCTGATACTAATTAGGGGTGTTACATACTCGGTTACCACTCAAAAGACGTAAGAAGATTGCTTTGAGAATTGGTTCGCACGTATATGCTCGATTCCAGTATGAAAAGATCAGGATTTTCTGCTTTCACTGTGGTAAGTTAGGACACGGTGAGAGTTTCTGTCCTTCTAGGCTTACAATTGATCTAAAGGACATTACCTTCAATTGGGATATTTCTCTACGAGCACCACTGCAACAGCCGGCGCCTAGCAGTATTTGGTTACGTGATGACATTAATGATAATCCCATAAATTCAGGCTCATTCCCTCTCTTGAATAAAGGGATTGACTTTGGTTCGAATCAAGGGATTGGAGCGACTTCTCAGGCCTTATTTTCCGGGGACAGATTGATTAGTGGCATAATTTGTGATGCTCCGATTAAGGATAGGTTAAAAGAAATTATTCCAGCTGCGTTAACTTATGACATGGATACTCTATGTAGAGATGGGCATGGGTCGGGTCGAGTTGGATTTTCGGTCAATCCGACTTGACCTGAAAATTATATATATATTTCACTCGAACCCGATCCGAAAAATACACCCTCCACATAATCCGACTTGAAATAATATATTTATTAAAAATATTTTAATTCAATAAAAATAGAGATTTAATTGAAAAAAATAATATATAGAGGGTATTATTGCAATTATTCCTATATATAAAAGTAAAATTATATATTTTTCTCGGGTCAGATATTTTTTACCTTAAACTTGAATTCGACTCGACTCGAACATAACCCATAAAAAAACCCGACCCAAACCTATTTTAAAAAAAATTGACTCGATCCAATCGAAATTCGTCGGATTCGGATTCTGATGGTAACAAACGTCCAAGGAATTCTAATACAGCTTCAGTTGTTTCTATTTTTCAAGATTCGAATGATGGCTCAAGGGTTCTGTGGGCCCAAATCCTTCTCTATCGGCAGGCCTGAATGACAAGGCCAGCCGGTCGCAACGAAAATGATATGTTGGAACGTCTGGGTCAACCTCGGATAGTTCGTCGACTCCGGCACATGCTGAGAGTTTTAAACCCAGATGTTTTCTTTTTTATAGAAACTAAATTAATGCAAGAAGAATGGAGAAAGTTCGTCAAAGTTTGGTTTTCCTAACGAGATTAGAGATTAGTTCAATCGGTAGAAGTGGTGGTTTGGCTTTGGGTTGGAAGAGTAAGTGTCCTATTTCCTTACGTTCCTAATCGAATAAACATGTTGATTTTCCTTTTAATGATAATTCAGATGGGTTTTCTTGGCGCTGTACTGGGTTCTACGGTGCTCCTGAGGAAGCTAACAGAATTGACTCATAGAATTTGTTACGTCAAATTAATGATTTTCCATGGATGGTGATGGGAGACTTCAATGAGATTCTCCTAGCCTCCGAGTGGTCGTATTCGAAGACAGAGACAGATGGATGGTTTTAGAACAATGCTTGAAGATTGTTGTCTTACCGACGTTGGCTATGAGGGTACTTGGTACACGTGGGAGAAGGGCCGTTTCTCAACGAACAAATCCGAGAACGATTAGACAGGGGTGTGGCTAATACTCCTTGGTGGAATCCCTTCCCAAATTTTAAGTTCACACACTTGACCCACACATTTTCTGACCATTACCCACTGTTTTCGTGATTGTCTTTATGCTAAGTCTATATGGCATCGCTTGAATTATTCTTGGCCAGCTGATACTGATAGTTTGGATTTCAAAGAATGACTGGCATGGATGTTTGCTAAGCATGCTAATAAAAAAGGATTTCAAATAGTTGTCACAGTTCGGGCACTATGGTATTCTCACAATAAGCTTCTTCATGAAGGATTGGTACAGAGTATTGAGGAATTACTTACTTTTATTAAGAGTTTCTGCTCGGAATTCAGCTTGGTAGCTTCCGGACTCTATAACCCGCCCCCTGGTGCTGTTAATCATTGGAAGCCCCCACCGCCTTCGGTGGTCAAGGTGAACATTGATGCGAGCTTTCAGCAGTCCGATAGTAAGTTATGTTCAGGAATTATCATTAGAGATGAAGGGGGTTTTATTCTTGGTGCTTGTGTTAGAATTAACTTCCGGGTTATTTCCCCTTTTGGCGCAGAAGCTTTGGCCGTTGTTCAGGGTCTTCTATTTGCAGTCGATCTTGGCTTCGCTTAAACTATTTTTCTTTTCCTATTTAGGTGTTTAAATTATTTAAGTGTTTAGGGGTTTATTCTTGGTGTTTTTCTTATTTAAGTGTTTAAATTATTTTTCGGTTAATCTAGATGTTTAATGGAATAAATATTATCATTTTAAGTGTCTCGATCGTAATTTAAGTGAATCTAATTGTATTATGATAATTTTAAAATTTATTCAGAAAATAAAAAAGTATATTATATTTTAAAAATATTTAAAAAAAATCACCCTCAACTCCACACATCCCCTCTCCCTCCCCCTCCATGAACTTCCAATTTGCAGCTCGTTGACTACTAGTCTTTGTAGTATTCCATTTTATTGACTGGATAAATTCCCATCAAAATTCTTGGATTTTATTGACTGGTATGACGATGCATTGCCTTCAAATTTAACGGGAGACTCGTGTTCATATCGCCAAACTATGATTATTACTGCTCTGATCAACATCATCAAATCGTCATGGATCTCTCATTATCCGAGACCTCAAGTTTCAAACACCAGTAACCCGAGTTTCGATTTCATCGTGTCAGTTTTGTCGACGCCTTCGTCAAATCCAACTCCATTGAATTCGAATTCGACACACATCAATATTCAATGGTAGCAGCAATGAAGACGAAAGAGATAGCTATTGCAACAATCTTTGAAGTTTCAATTTCACAATATTTAAATAAAATGCTTGATGATAGCTTTTTCGGATCAAAAAATGCCAAACAAAATTTAGGGAAGGGAGGGGGAGGGGGAGGGGACTGAAGGGAGAGGGAGGGGGTGGCGGGAGATCTTTTTAAAATAAGTTTTTAATATAATAAATTTTTTTTATTTTTTATAAAATAAAATATTTAAATTTACCAGAATACGATACGTGTTGAGATTTTTTAATGGCTGTTACAATTAAGACAGAATGATAATATTTATAACGTTAAATCGTTAAACACTTGAATTGACAAAAAATTAATTTAGGAAAAAAATATAATTTTGACATTTATTTTTATGTTAAGCCTTTTGTTTACTTGCCAATTGAACCTGGACTTTCAAGAACTGTTTAAACGTAATATCCCTTATTACTTTAGAACGCATACCAGTAATTACTTCATTCCATCCCATCATTAATTCTGATGCAAGTTCAATCTCCACATAAACGAGGTTCAAAGTTCCAACACAATAATACCACTTACTACATGGGGACAAAAAAGAAAGAAAGAAAATAACACACCCAATATCTACAGAAGCAATGGAAACGAGGCTCGTCAAAACAGGAAAGAAACATCCTTAACGCTTTGCGTGATCGTGTGTGGGAACTGAATTATCATGATTCAGAGGAATCTGTAATTATCATCGTCCTCGTTCATTTGAATACAACACATTATGGCTAGAACAAATATGAAATAAGATGAAACTTCCATTGCCAGTGCACCCCAGCTGATAATTCCAGCATGCTTCAGGATAGCCGGTATAGCAATGCTTCCAACTGCCGAAGCTCCGGTCAAGAACTTTGTTGCGTTGACCCAACTGTTAAATTAAGCATTATTAGGAAGAGGATCATGAGTATTCCAAATCTCAAGCTTGTACTGAAAATAATATCTATATGAAGAAGTTTAGGGCGAACAAAAAGGTTACCCGTTGTTGGATTCAGATAAAAGAGAAGCATCAGAGCCCGTAAAGAACAGCAAAGGCATTGGAAGAAGCACATACATTATTACTGCAACATAAACGAAGTATGTGAGGGTGCTTAAATGGAGTAATATGTATGAGCTTAACCAAATGAAGTTTCTTGCTTAATTACACAAACAGAGCTGTCAGAAACTCTAAAGCACCCGCTCACACAAGACATAAACATCATGCTCATTCATAAATCACCTTTAAGGGCATTCACACGGCAAGCAAACAAAATTTTCGAAAGACGTAACAAATTGCAGACTATAGCCATACAACAGAAATGAATTAACACAAGGATAATGGGGGATTATTCACTTCTGCACGCATCATGTATGTCCCTGTATGACAACTTCAGTTAATTATAAGATACATTACTTTGTAGATAACAAATTGCAGCGACAATTACCTCTAAGCACATTTACACAGCAACCAACACATTCTTCAAATAATGTAATAAACTGCAGGGTAAAGACACACTACAAGGGGGAATTAATCCAAAGAAAGTAATAAACTGCAGGGTAAAGACACACTACAAGGGGGAATTCTAATAATGCATGTCTATAGATGAGAAGTTCAGTTGAACCCTAAGATACATTATAGTTGTTGGTTTGTTTGTTTTCTGAAAATGATCAGAACATACAGCAACAAGAGTAAGACTACAACTTAACGAAGAGAGCGAGAGGTAGCAAACAATTAAACTCCTCTTCCTAGCACTGACAGACTTGGCTAACAATTACAGTCGTCTTCTTGACATGCTAAACAAATCACACAAATAACAAATTGAATTATAAGCATCAATTTCTGAGGTAGATGAACGGGGGCACGAAACAATTGGTAATAGGCAACCATGGTAAGCTAAAAACTCAAACTCCTAAAATTGAAAAAATAAAAGAACTAACAGAATTTATTTGAGAA